TCTTGTTTTTGGGGGGGGGGGGGGGTGTGCTGGCATATTCCTTTAATTCCAAGAATATTTGCCCTGTAAATGACCAAGCATTCATTTGCACAGTAAAGAAGAATGAATGTATTAACAATTTTCCAATTGTTGCTAATTGTTTATCGCCTATGATTTATTTTCTGTTCACAGGTTCATGGAACCAGCTGTCATTGTATGCCTTGGTGGAATACTACCATTTGGATCCATTTTTATTGAAATGTAAGTTGACTTTTTTTTTTTTACCATCTCTTAAGGAGTGCACGTTGTTTGTGAGTGTGTCGATAAAAGACGATGGCTGGCTAGGTGTAATTACACAACACCAAGCAATTGATGAATGGTCAATGGTTATGTATGTAGATTGTGGCAGGCGAATAGGCCATGCACTTTATAGAGCAACTTTTGATGTTTTGTTTTCCATTCCAGGTATTTCATATTTACCTCTTTCTGGGCATACAAGATCTACTATGTATATGGCTTTATGATGTTGGTTTTGGTCATCCTTTGCATTGTGACTGTCTGCGTAACTATTGTTTGTACATACTTCCTTCTAAATGCCGAGGATTATAGGTGGTAAGTGACTTTGTATATATTATTGAACATATCTGTGTATGATGGATCTGTTAAAATGTAGTCACCTGTCATTCAGGTTGATTGTTTATTTTTTCGGGCAGAGGCTATCTGAACTTTACCCATGGTGACATCTTCTGAAAATGCTTATTGACTGGCTTTCAAGCTGATTCATTACTTTTCAGTACTTTTGGACCAGGAACAAGTCTACAGATCAGAAGTTTAGACCTCACTGATAGAATGCTAGGGCCGTGACTTAGAAAATAGAGAAGTCAGCAACAGCCATGTAACTAGTATTTTGGGAGCTCAGCATTTGCTTACTCCGTATCACTATCAGTACAGGTTTCCTTTAGGGAGATTAAAGCTGCCCATACACTAATATTTTCTTCAACATGCAGGCGAAGAAAATCCAACAGCTTATGAGCATTGATGGGGGAATCTCTGTCTTCACTGTATTCTGATTGTGGCCGCCTGCTGCTATTAGAATATCCGGACAGAGCCACCAGTTCATTGGCTGCCGGCTCTGCTAGGAGATTTTCCAACCGGCTCCTTCGATAAGCTGATTAAGGGATGCCGTCTGAGAGGGTGCCTACGCCAGCACATAATGTGCGAATTGTGGCCTGTTCCTCAAGAACAAGACGAAATTCACATAGTATAGGGCCAGCTTTAGTTTAGAATCTTCTGGAGCTTATTTAAAAGAACATGTACTTGACAATCTTGGAAATCTTCCTTTCAGACTTCTTTGTTATGATTGTAGTTTTTAATAAAAAATGTGCCTCTTTATGAACTGCTTATTTAGTTGGCCCAGGCAAGATGAACTACTTAGTACTAATTATTTTTAGATGTTAAGTTGTCTATTTTGTTATGAAATGCTATGTAACTTCTGATTCTAGTGTATCTTGACAAAAAAAGGATGCTAATGAGCCTTTATTTGTGTTTGCAGGCAATGGACAAGTTTTCTTTCGGCTGCTTCCACCGCAATCTATGTTTACATGTACTCCTTTTACTACTACTTTTTCAAAACAAAGTAAGTGTCGCTTTATCTTTTTGTTACAGGAAGGTTCTTTATTAGTGGCAGTATATATGCTGTGCATTCCAGCTAGGTGAAGGGGAGGGCAAGCAGTGTGCCTGGGCCAGGAAGAGATGTCGCAGGACTAAGTTCAAGTCTTACCTGACTCGTAACTTAGTCCTCTGCTAAAGGGAAGACAGCCACAAGTGTGAGATCTACAGTATACTAGTTACCTAATGTATAAAAGCAAAGAAGCCAAGCAACCTTGCCAATGTCTACTGACATTTTTGGGGGATAGACAGCTTAGGCAAAGGTTTGGTAAATATACTCCCTCTGTTTTGATGGGGATTTCTTTTTCTTTCTTTTTCTTTCTTTTTCATACTTTCGGAGACATCTCCGTTACCACCCTCTCCTCCTGTCCCAGCCATTTCCAGTGTCAGTGTCTCTACAGTCTTGGCCTCGGGTTGCTGGTAAGAACTCTGGGCCCTGTATCCAGGAGTTTTCCCTCCTGGGAGATTTTATCGTCCCATGAGCTGCCTTCTGGCCTTCCAGAACAGATGGTTGCCTCTACTTTGTGGGAACCCGCATTCAGCAGGTCTCCCGGTTCGGACTCGGTTACACTGCCAAGATGTTAAGGTTCTTTGGCACCGAGAAGGGGCGCGAGTCCTTTCTGCATTGCAGAAAATAACTGCTCCCATCACTGGATGATACTGTGCATTCCCCTAATTGCCCCTTAGAGACAATTTGCTGAACAGCAGTTCCTATCTCCTAGTAGCCTCTGTTCATAGGAGAGTTTCCCATGTCTATGTACCGTTCAGACCCTGCGTCTCAGGTTGTTTGTCATAGCACACCCTAGGGCAGGGCTCAAAATTTCCACTCGCCCCCTCGCAATTGGCGAGTGAAAATTGCGTGGGGGCGAGTGGAAATCCAGGGGGGGGGACTTCCGCCGCTTCGGCAGCGCCGATCGCTGTCTGTTTCCTCCACCCGCTTCTTGGAGCGGCACCGCAGCCTCCGACGGCCGGGCCGCTTCTCCCTCGGCCCTGGCCACGCCTCCTCGTACACCCGGCAGCTCGCTTTCAGGCCCCATTAGCGGCG